ATTTGGGGTTTTCCCAAAACAAAAAAAAAATTAAAAAAAAAAAAAAAAAAAAAAAAGGCAATTGATCCCTAAAGATGGTAAGAAAGGACCCAGGGCTTTTATAGATCGCTTGGCAAAAGTTTTGACTGATGCCACTTGCTGTAGATACAGGTAAGGCATTTGGGTAGATTTAAACACAAAATACCAAATGCTACATAATGTGTGTGCCCTAGCATGAAAGAATTATGGAATTCCAAAGCAGCCTGAGCTCACGGAAGTCACAATAATGTTCAGGAAAAAATGATAAATGGCTTCCCCCCCCCATACCCAAAGTGCCACATCTACACGTTTTCTGAGCCCCTCCAGGGATGGGGACTCCACCGCCTCCCTGGGCAGCCTGTTCCAATGCCTGACCACTCTTTCAGTAAAGAAATTTTTCCTAATATCCAATCTAAACCTCCCCTGACACACCTTCAGGCTATTTCCTCTCATCCTATCGCTAGTTACTTAGGAGAAGAATTGGAGTTCACCTTGCTCAACCAACAAACACACAGGTTGCCTTCTCTCAGACTTGCTTCTGAGCCCCTCGGATGTTTCATTAGAAACAATTTTCTGAAGTTCTGTGAAACCAGGCTGCTTCTTTCTGACACAAAAAAATATGCAACTCACCTGGCTGCCATGAAAACTTTTCTCCTGCTCAGGTTACGACAGATACTACAATAAATACATCAACGTCAAGAAAGGGGGCCTCGGAGGGATCAGCATGGTGCTTGCTGGTTATGTTGTCATCAGCTACATCTGGAGCTACAGTCACCTGAGTAAGTTCAGAGCAGTGTGGCTGAGCGTGTGTGGCGCAGCACAGGAGATTGCTTGGGGCAATAAAAACAAATAATCGGCTGCTGCTTTTAAAAGGGAAGGCTGTGCTAACTGTTGCTAGAATCCCAGACTGTGGGCAAGCAGACTTCTTCCAGCTATGGAGAACTTGAATGCTTTTAGTAACTTATCAGATGGCCAGTATTTTCTTGGCGATAAAGAAAGCACGGATCTTGTTGCCTATCTGACCTGCTGGTACTTAGAAACTGCACGCTCAGATGTTTTTTTAGAGGGCTTTCTCTGCTGTAATTTCAGGTGCGGTGGTTTTTTTCCTTGTGACTCCAATAAAATTGACTTGCTTTTCTTTGATGCAGAGCACGACCGCCACAGGAAGTACCACTGAAGCGTGAAGGTGCAGGGCTTGAACAGACTCGGCTACTGGAACAGTTATCCTGACAGAAGACATCAGAACTATTCATATTAAAATCTGTACTATTACAACCAATAATAAAGTGCATACACTTTACCCTTACTAAGCTGATGCTCTTCATAGCCAGCATGTTAACTGTACTGCACAAATGAGTTTGTAGTCTTTTGAGTTTCACCCCTCAAGGATAAGCTCAGAGGTGGCTGGGAAAGCATCTGCTACTTGGGTTGCATTATGAACTGGGAAAACCAATGCAATTGATTCCTATTTAACTGGTTGATAGAAGTAAAAAGCATTGGATTGCTTCTTTATAGCCCTTACCTACAGGTTGGACAACTGCCTGAAAGGATTTTGATTTGAAAGACCAGCATCTGAGCTTTACGTAGCCTGTTGGTGCGGCCATGTGCTCCCGAATCCCAGTCAGGCCTTCACCCAGAGACTGTGGGTACTGGGGCAGTTTCCCATCATTGCAGAGCACTGTCTGAGCTAAAAGGGGTCTCCCACTCTCGTTATGTCACTGGGACGCTAATGCTTCTTACTGCTGATAGCCCATTTCTATCAAAACTATCTACTTTCATTACTAAAGGCAGCTGGAAGGTTACTCTGAATGGGTATAAGCTTAAAAGACCTTTAACAGAGGGCCATGAAGTTAAACCAAAGGAAAACTCCACTTCTTGACTTAAATGCAGTGGTGAGAAGTTCAACAGAAGACACTGTGCATAAATGCAACTTAAGGGAGCCTCTGTGGGTTTGGCTGCACCTGATGACCTTCCTCGCCCTCCCCTCTAAGCAAGTGCATCCCGCTGTCGCGACACTGCTGAGCCTTGTCCCTGCAGCTGGGCACTGCGGGTACAACTGCAGTGTCCGCTTCGGGATCGTAGGGAGAACGAAAACCACGTGTTAAGGGACAGGACGGATCTCTCAAGAGCTTCAGTGGTGACAGGAAGGCTTTCAGCTTTGGAAAACATCTGTTCCGGTAGTGAAGACCACAAACTCCTGAGCCAGACACCAAGGGGCTTCAGTTCCCTTTCCGGGTGCCTCGTTACACGCAGACAGCGCATCTCACAGCTTGGCCGCTGCTCAGCCTTTCAGGGGCACAACGTGTTGCGAAAAGCATCTGATGTCTTGCGATACCATAGTCACCGAGAGCTGAAACTTCTATTTGACTGACTCCGACTCTCCACAGTGAAATAACCGCAGTCGTTCAAACCAACACAGGCTCCGGGCACTTCTCAATCTACTCATATTACCTTGGTCTTAAAAATAAATTCACAGCCAGCTTTTTCCATCAGTACATTTCAATAAAACCAAAGTATAAAGGCAGTCAGCAAATGAGAGATGGGTTAGAATCAATAAGGCTCATACTGTAGGTGCAACTTTTTTTTTTTTTAATTCACATTTTCTCATTGGCCCTTTTGAAACAGTCGTCTCACAAAATAAATGGGTTTTGGCTTGCAAAAATTGCTCTCGGAAGAATGCTCTACCGCTTTTAAAAGCAGTGTTCCATAAGAACACACATCTCCACTTCTCAGTCTTCTCTAGGCTACGGAAATACCTGCTCAGTGTGAGCTGGATGACGGGGGCTGAGACAAGGCTCCTCTATTCCTACGCTTCAAGCCGTGCTTTTTGCAAACGGAAAATGAGCACAGATGCGCCTTTCCTACAATCACAGTTCCTCATCGTTTGGCTAACCACAGAGACGCCAACTTATTCTCCCCTTGATCGGTTCTCACCCAGAGGATCGATTTCTAACCTTCAGTATAGCACGAAGCACAGAAACAAAGCAAGTGGACGAAAGTTTTGCAGCCTGGCGTACGTGATGCGTTACATCAGCCACCAGGCCAGGCTTACTGACTACAGCAGGCTGTACCTGGCAACACGACTTTGCTTTTTAAGAGCTACAGGACAGCAGAATCCCTGCTTCCTCACTGAAGGGAAGGCATTTCAACTACTAGTTTTCCCAGTCAGGCTTCCTGCTTCCACAGGGAGGGCTGAAACGCTGCAGGTTCTCCAAAAGAGAAGTGGCAGAAGGAAAACACTTTAAAGAAACACTGGTGTAAGGTGTGTTTACGTGGAGTGCTGCACCGGTGAGGGGTTCGCACATCTCTGGGCTTTTAGATCTACCTTTCAGCAGGGCTCAATGAATATAGGCGTAGGCCAAAATCTCTTTTAAAAAGGTTAAAACATAAAAAAAAAGTTGTGGACAATTACAAAAATGTTGCTTAGCAGCAGCCAGCCTCTGACCAGTTCTTTCAGTAATGGCATTAAAAAACAACCTGATTAATAGTTCAAGACATAGTGCTAGGCAGAAACCTTTTCTCAGTGTTAACAGCTCCCTCGCACTCTTTGTTCTGCTCTTTCACTGTCCACTGAGAAAGGCCAGATGTCCTTTGGTGCATCTGTTGGCATAATGACCTTTTTCACCACACTGCAAGAGAAAGAGAGATGAGTTATTACACAGTTACAGCTTTTTCCCCCTCTAGCTGCCTTTGAGGTAGCCAGCAACCATTCCGACTGAGAAGCTTTTCCGCGTACGGAAGATGCAGCATTTAGCAGGTGAAGTGAAACGTGGTGTCACAAAGGGCACGACTCAGGGGCTATTTCCACTCCTTGGAGCAAAAGCTGCTTCTGTGCCGGGAGCAACCTGACACCATGTTGTAACAACACACTACAAAGGAGAAAGCTCTCAGCACACCACTGCGAACAGCAAAGGGCTCTGACACACAGGGAGAATTTCAGTGTTTGAGGTTCCCAAGACTACTCCATCTGCTACGCCCTACATCAGAGACACAGGGGGACTCTCTGGGTCGGCTGTCCCAGATTAGACAGAGAAAAGCGCATCTGAACAAGAGGTTTATGACTTTGCACCTTGAAGCTATTCAAGCCCAGAGAGAAACGTCAGTATCTGATGCTACAGCATACTCCAGCTATGTAATTTACCTGCAGCTAAAAGAGCAAGCAGCTATTACAGGTTTTCAGTGAAATGGATTCAGCTACTTAATATCCCTGTCCGATCACAATAATTTTTACCCAAACAAGCACCCAAGGCACAGAAGCTGGCATGTACAGCAAGATAACTGTCGATGCTGATCGAACAAGAAGATTCTTTGCCTTTTTCTAGTGGCTAGGGTTGGGGCTTTTGTGGAAAAATAAACAGAGCTGGAAACTTGATTGTGTCAAAGTTTTACTGGTGCTCCTCAATGAGCAACCAAGATGAACAGCTCATTCCTTCATTTAATAGCAATGGGGTGCATTTACAGCTGAAATGTCACACAGCCTTTGCATATTCAATTTCTGTTACTCACAAGGACCTTCCAGGCTACCAAGGAAGAAGAAAATCTTTCTAACAGTCACCAAGTGTAAGCAAATCAACTCATGAGACAAAACTAATATTAACTCTTCACTTGAAACACACAGTTCAGCAGTCTCCTTCAACTGTCATTGTGGTAGGGTTTCCTGTTCATCAGCAGACGAGCAAAGTCTGTGCTACAGCAGCCTTAACTGTCACAGCAAGCCCCTGAGCAGCAAACCAGCAGCCTCCAAACTCAACGCTAATTCCCACAGCTGTATCCACGCACCAAAACGCAGCATCTGGTGAGCAGAGCACGCATTTCATGAACCTCTTCACACTGTGAAAAAAACCTGCAGGACCAACACCCCTCATCACAACAGCCTGTTCCTTTGCCCGCGACAAGCAATCAGCAGCAAAGCAGCATGATGTCGTCCAGGCAATATGCACTGTCCTTCTTCAGTCTAGCACCCTCTGCTTTCCCTCGTCACCCCCTCCCCCGAATTACCTTGTAGCAGGTGACCTGCTCCAACGGCCGGGGTCCTCTGTTCCCACTGTTGTTATTTTGAGACTGCATGACTCCAATGACTTGGGGTGTCCTCTGTTGGGTAGGAGAGGAGTTCTGGCTCGTTAAGTGCATCAATGATAAAGACCTTTATGGTTGTTATTTTGTTAAGAAGGGAAAAGAGCACCCCACATATCAAATGATCAATTTTCCTCCAAATCCGTGTGTGGGTGCTCTGCCAGCTGGAGCACCAAAGAGAAGAAACCAAGCACTGAGGCTTACAAAGCCCAGCAATCCTGCTTTTCTCTGGAAAGCAGATTTAACGAGTAGGTTTCAGCTGCTAAAATATCATTGCCATCACCCAGAGATGTCACACAGATTACAAAACCTGGCAGATTGCTGCACAACCATACATGATGTGCTTCTATGTCATGTGAGAGCATTCTGTGACTAGACCTCCACAGAAAGTAGGAGCAACTGTAGGACTTTCAGCACTCTAACGGCACTCAGGGTTGCTCACTGCTTAATTCTGGCACAGCACCCTCCCTGCCAGGCAGTGCCCAAGCAACACAACTGCCACTGCTGGGCTCTGAGCTGGAGCACAGTACTAACGACCGAGAAGGTTAACCAAGGCGAGGGGAGAAACAGAACAAAGCAAAACACCACGGTCCCAGGATGAAAGCAGCAGCACCGTTCTGATCAGACGGTGGACATTAGCGGGCTGGGAGGAGGAAAGAGAAGGGACAGTGCTTTGCGGTTCATTAGGATTTGTCTCCAAGTTCTTAACCACCAAAAAGTATCACACTCTGTTGTAAAATAGGAAAGGTTCTCCCTCGTTCAGTATTTCTCCAAGGCTTTCCAGCAAGCCATATCCAAGAGCCCACGTGTCCAGTTCTGACCACTAACCAATACACCCTCTTTTAAAGCACTGTGGGAAATGCTTTGAGGCGGGTGCGCAGGGGAGGCAGGGGAACTGTGTACCTTTTGTTGTGTTTGTGTCGGTTGAGGCAGTGGTGGTTGCTCTGTGGTTCCCATTGGCAGTTCAAATCGAGGGCTGGTTTAGACGGAAACAAGAAAATTGATTCCCAAATCATACGCTGACATTTTGCCACCAGCTCAGTCAAATAACAACAAACAACAGAACGGACATTCAGCCAAATAAATTCAGCTCACAGGAAACAGATCTTGCCCTCCCCACTTCTCTCTGCATTCTGATGCTCAGCAATTACACATACAAAAATGACAATCCAGTATGTCGTATATCCCTCTAGCTGTGAAGTCTTCTGGAATGTAAACCAGAAGATCCCACTGCACCGATGGCATCTGAGTGCCACTCTGGAGTCTCACTGGTAACTCCCCGCCCCATATCCTCGAATCGTTACAACCAGCTAAGCATTGGCCAAATCTCCAGAGCCACTGGGAAGCACTGGAGCACCCTCATCTGACATGTACCAGACTAGAAGGGAAGCACAGCATTACGGAACAAGCCCGGAAGGATACTCACTGCATGAATTTACAGGTAGGCCCCTCTGGACAGAATCCTACTAGGTAATTCACACAAATGACTCTTCGAGTGTGCCGGTGTCTGCAAAGGGGACCTGCAACACAAAGCTCAGTAGTTCACATTCCACACAGACGTACCGCAGCACTCAGTAGTAGCAAGTACACAAGCAGATCACATACAGAAAGAATAGCAACACCCTACCCTTGATTTATAGCCACAGAAGCTGCGACTGTGCGACATACATACCATGTTTACAGAAGCCTCTGTCATACCAGGGACAGTCTTTGATCTTAGACTCCGGGTCGATGTGCAAGAATGGACATTCTTTGTTACTGCATTCCCCTGTACCAAAGGCAAACACACTTCTTAGTCAGCTGTGATCAGCTCAAAGATCAGCTCATAGGACTCTCAAAACGTTACCTGGATCACGTAGCTCCCACAAAGCTGCTACCAACATTACTAAGTTCAGGCACAACAGTCTTACTGCCTGCCTTAACCTACACGAAGAACGTCAAGGACTCACCCCCGGTGAGTAAAGTTCTTCCAGACTGGATTATTTATGCGTGCTTTTAAAAACAATGCGGAAACTAAATTTGAAAGAGCAGTCATGATAACAAAAACCAAACATTTAGTGCACCAGAAGTGTGGAGAAACTACAAATTGCGCACTAACCTCAATCCAAGGAAACCTACAAGACTGTAAGTTTCTGACAGCAAGTTGCCTCATTATGTCCAGATCTCCAGAGCTGGAAAGCAAGTGCATAAAAGTTTTGCACCCCCATGCCCTCTGCTGCTCATCAGCTCCCCAAAATAAGAGTCATGCAAAGACCAACTGCTCAGCCTACTCATCTCATACCCAAAACAGAACACAAGGCATAAAACCCAGTAAAAACCTGAACTTCCCCCCTCTACCCCAAGGGACGAGCTCTTGAGAGAAAAGACGATCTACAATACGTCACAAATTTAGTGGGATAATAAGGCGAAGGACTAAGCAGATCTGAAAAATTACAATCTAATAATATCAGCAGACACAGAAGAACTGCGATGTTCTGAAGACGGATGAGAGGGATGTACCAGGATCCTCTTCACCGGACTCCCACGCCAGCAAGGAACACTAAGTAGGAGCTACAACGCTCCTTACCGAATTTGGAGTAGAAGTAACACTCAGGCATCTTGGTCATGTCGTACTCGTGCAGAAACTCGCACTGGTCTCCCTTTTTGCACAGTCCTCGTAGCCAGTGTTTGCAAACGACCGTCTTTTCCCCGCTGATGTGTCGGAACGGGCACATGCCTCCTGCAGCAGGATGGCACAAGAAGGGAAAAGAAGAATGATTAAAATCTGCCACACAAGAAGGCACAGGGCAGTAGCAACACTCTGCTCCTCTCTGCAAGCAGGGTTTCAGAAGGCATCACTTTTTCTCACAAATTTAGCCTTTAGTGGCAACAGCCACAGGGGCCAAGCTTCTAACGAGCTAAGCAACCTAGTCAGCAGCTCTTAATCCTGGCAGCCACAACCCACAGCTACTAACACAGGCACGGCCACAGCAAGGTCTGCTTGTGGTACGTTCAAGCCTTCCTTTACCAGTAGCTTTAGTTATTCACCTCCCAGCTTCTTAAAAAAATACCATTATTTCACCATTGCTGCAATTATTCCAACATCCTCTGATTTTATCCTCTAGCGAGGTTATCTCCGTGTCGTCACAAAAAAGATGAGTACTGTAGACAGTGCCAGCAAATCTAGCTTACCCCCTCCATCCACCTGAGTATAATTGTATCGGAAATATTACTTGCCTTTTCCACAGGCCGCTTTTAAAAAAAATTCACAAACAGCCGCGCCCGATTCTGTAGAGAGAACAAAGAAACACAATTAATTTTAACAATGTTTTGTGACAACTTTTAAAATGTTTCCTTCCCCAGAAAGACAATCTGGCCCTCAAGATCCAAATAAAAGTGTTTTGTCTTGGGGAATTTACTTTCCCGCGTAAGCTCCATGTTCGAGTCTGGCCCTTGCAAACACCTGTATTCTTCTTGGGGGACACTGAGGGGGATTTGCAGAGATCTGGTGGTGCCTGTTTTGCTTCCCAGATATTTGGGTTCTATTGATGGGGTTTTCCTCTGCTGCTGAGTCATTCATGTCACTGCACCCTGTGTTCACAGTCCTGGCAACAACAGTCTTGTATTTTTTGACCAGAACAGCCTGAAACAACCATTAGCATGTTATCCCTTGCTGACCCTGACCAACAGGAACCACAGCATTCAAGGGAGTTAAAACACAAGTTTAGTCGCCCAGGCAAAAACTTCAGCAAACCACGAGTCTCCTGAGACCACCTGTGTCAGATTATCAGCCTGGAGGAAAAGGCTGAGAGACCAGTCCACAGATACACCTAAAGATGAAGTCTCCCTGCCAGCAAAATGCCTCATCTACCACAAGGGGATGAAAAATAAATAATAAAGTACTGCACGGGAAAGCGATGTTTAGTCACGATCATGCCTCGACTTTATTACAGAATCACAGTAGGGGTTGGCAGGGCCCTCTGTGGGTCAACCAGTCCAACCCCCTGCCCAAGCAGGGTCACCCAGAGCAGGCTGCACAGCACTGCGGCCAGGCGGGTCTGGAATATCTCCAGAGAAGGAGACTCCAC